TTAATTATCTAGTCCTTTTTTTTTAAAGATTTTTTTTTGATGTGGACCATTTTTAAAGTCTTTATTGAATTTGTTACAATATTGCTTCTATTTTATGTTTTGGTGTTTTGGCAAAGAGGCACGTGGGATCTTAGCTCCCTGACCAGGGATCAAACCCACACCCCCTGCATTGGAAGGCAAAGTCTTAACCACCTGACCACCAGGGAAGTCCCCAGTCCCTTTTTGAGCGTCATTTAGGTGGTTACTAATTTTTGTCATTACAAACAGTGCTGCAATAAACACCCTATACATATCTGCTTATGCACAAGTGATATTGTCATACATATACCTAGGAGTCCAATGCTGGTTGTAATTTTACTAGACAGTGCCAAATTGTTCTGTAAATGGGGTACTTTCTACTCATTTTCATCACACTTGTACTGTTAGACTATTTAATGTTTGCTATTCTAGTAAGTGTGAAATGATATTTCATAGTCATTTTAATATGCCTGTCCCAGATGACCACTGAAGGTAAACATCTTTTCATGTGTTGACTATTATAGTTCCCTCTTCTGCAAAATACCTGTTCAGTCATTCCACTTTCTAAAACACTGTGAAAAGATATTTATTGCGTGGATGATATGAATGCACTGGTAGTTCAAGGATCTGAAAAGTAAGGTTGGGTTTATTAAGAGTTTACATAATAATAATGCATTCCGAAATACCAGAGTACTGCATCTCAGCAGCATCACAATTCTGCTGGTGAAACGAATGTTTATTACAGGTTACATGTTCCTGTTGGTTAATGGATGTTTTAAATTCTGTGCAAATTATACCACAGCATATGATTCAAGATCCTGAGGAAAACGAAGGAGCCAGAGTCTCTGACTTAGAGCAAAGAAGTAGGAGCCATTCCACTTTATGTATAAACGGATCAAGAATTGTATTCAAACCTTCCTCCAAACAGTCTGGCAAATAAGCAAACACAAACACAAAATAGTGATAATGGCGTCAACTTTGAATCACGATTGGAAAATAGAAATGGTAATAAAGTAAATAGAATTATTCATGTTTAAATACCACAAATAACTTACCCAAAGGAGGGCATGTATATTTGAGTGGGTAAGAATTTTTCTAACTGCAAAATTATAAATCTTATTGCTTGTTCATAGGACAACCAGTTTTACAGAAGGCAATTTTTCTCCTCTTGCTTTCTTCTTAGGTACTGTAAAACCAAGTATCACTATTATCAGGTCACTTGCATCTTATCATGCTGACGAGAAATCTACAAAATCTGCATTTATTCTGTATGTATCTGAAAGTTGACCACTATGGAGATTCCAAAGATTGTGTTTGCAAGGCAAGTGAAGGTAGGTCTCCTAGGCAAAGGAAACGATACTGAGACAGTTGAGGAGCTACCTGATGATATCTATAATCCAAGAAAACAGTTAAAGACCTTTAGAGTTGGCTTGTAATGTGGTTTTGTCCTCTTAGTTTGAACTTGGATGTGTTTGAAGTAAAGGGAGTTAATATCATTTAAAAAATAATAATGATCCTAGAAGGAAGAAAACAAAAGAATCTGTAAGGTTTCTATCTCTGTCCCTCTAGTTTTGTGTTTCTCAGCTGGAGTTGCTCATCACCAAACCACAGATGCAGATAAGGCTCCTGCTGAGGCAGCCCCCTCTCCCTGGTGGTCCCTCTCCCTGGCAGTCCCAACTACAATGTGCAGGACTCCCCCTCTCTGTCAGGGCTGCTATACCATTGGTCTGTACACTTACTGGGCACTGGCAGACAAGTGCCTTGGTTTTAAAAAGCAAACATCAAGCTCCTTCCATTCAAGCCAACCAACTCTGAAAAAGGCTTGTTACTTCTTCCTGTTAGAGGAAGCAACCCCCAGAAGAATAATGAAAGCATCATGTTACAACTGTGTGAGGGGACCCTCTAGTACTCGCACTCTGCAGGCCAGCTCCCCTAGTCTAAATCATCTCCAACAACAGACATGATAGAGCAGCCTGTGGGGAACTCCACTCATATCCAGGAGAGCTTTGGGTGACCATAGGACCATTTGGATTATGTATCTCAATGGGGGTAGTTGAGTCCTCACAAACAGGTAACAGCTGTGAAGAATTCACTTCTGCTTGGACCTGGGCATCTACTCTTTTGGGATCCGCACAGCTACAGGGCACCTCCTCAGCCCACACCTACAAGTAAAGTCAGTCACTCATCCCCAGCACTCTAAGAGCTAGCTCTTCTATGGTGAATACTGACCACACATCAGGCAGGGTTCAGTGAACAGTCATGGTCATGGGCTTAGACCTCTTTGGTACCAAACTCTAACCAACTGGGTCAACCATAACAAAAAGTAAATGATGGAAATTTAACAGGTCCCAAACCCAGAACGGTGGCCTTTTTAGTGCCACACTCCACTCGAGACAAACTTATTCAAGGTCAGTGGATACCTGGCTAGGCAGGTGAGAACATAATGATACAGGAGACAGAGTGTAGGTGAGATTACTCAGAGAGGGAGTTATGTTCCTGAAATTCTTGGTTAGAATAGGAAAAGAATTTTCTCAAAGAGAAAATATCATAAATGAACCTCAGACATCATGATCACAATTCTATTCTCTCTGCATTAAATACTCTTTTGTGATTTAGCACAAATACTTTTTCCCCACAGGAAAGTGCATTTAAAGCCAAAACACACTTAAAGGAACCTCAGAATATCACATATTTGTGAACTGAGAACTTGTTTTGCTAGAGAAAGAAATGACTTCATCTGTCAGTGCATCATTTAAATGGTTCTTCTGGCTGGTTATGAAATCAACTGAACTTTCAAACATTTTAATGGAAAAGAGAATCGCTTAGTCAACCCTCACCTCCAACCCTCCCAGTCTTCCTGTTGAGCAGTTGATTTATGCAAGGTTTAAGCAACTGGTGGACTGGTGCTTATACCCATGACCACCCTGTCCTTCCCTCAGAATAACTATCATCACACGTTAATTGTAATTATTTAACTGCCTGCCTGCTTCATCCCACCCCCACTAGAATGTAAACTTCACAGGAAAGGGGCTTTGATTTATCTGACATTATAGCCCCTGATAAGCACATAGCAGGCACTCATTAAATATACGCTGAATGAAGGAATAAGTAAAATGGCCGACTGGCAGATACTAATAAAGGATCTGTGAACAAAATGCCTTTAGAATAAAAGAAGTAATTGACATCAAATGGGCCATTTAAGCTGGCAAAGGAGGAGGAACTTGCGTGGCGAAGTGTATCTGTAGCGACCTTGAGCATATGGAACCTACATTTTTAGGCTGGGACAGAAAGTTTTAACTCCTGTAAAACAGTTCCCTAAGTTCAACTTTGTGGGAAAACTTCTGGGGCCACGTGGCAATTCTCTGAAGCGTTTACAGGAAGAAACCTCGACAAAAATGTCCATCCTTGGAAACGGCTCCATGAGAGACAAGGCAAAAGAAGAAGAGTTGAGGAAAAGTGGAGACGCAAAGTACTTCCACCTCAGTGATGATCTCCATGTTCTGACTGAAGTGTTCCCCGCCCCCCCTACTCAGCAGAAGCCTATGCCCGGATGGGACATGCTCTGGAGGAAATCAGAAAGTTCCTCATTCCTGAGTATAATGATGAAATCAGGCAAGCACAGCTCCAGGAATTAACATATTTGAATGGTGGTCCAGAAAATGCAGATGTTACCAGTTGTTACCTTGCATACAAGAGGGGTACCAACCCCAGCAATAACCAGGGGAAGGGGAGGAGTCACAGCCCAGCCAGTGGGAGTCGGGGTACTGCGAGGGACACCGACTGCCAAGGGAGTCCTTTCCACCCGAGGGCCAGTGAGTCGGGGAAGAGGACTTCTCACTCCCAGAGCAAGAGGAGTCCCCCCCTACTGGGTACAGACCTCCACCACCGCCCCCAACACAAGAGACCTGTGGAGATTATGACTATGACGATGGATATGGCACTGCTTATGATGAACAGCGTTATGATTCCTATGATAACAGCTATAGCGCCCCAGCCCAAAGTGGTGCTGATTACTATGATTATGGACACCGATTCAGTGAAGAGACGTATGATTCCTAAGGGCCAGAGGAGTGGACTAACTCAAGACACAAGGCACCCTCAGCGAGGACAGCAAAGGGCGTCTACAGAGACCAGCCATACAGCAGGTACTGACTGTACTGTCTGATGTTGTGACATAGCCAGTCTCCATGAGTCCTGTATACTGTTCAAAGTAATTGTTTTCTATGAACAATCCCTTTTTAAATAAATCATAATGCTTAAAATCTGGAGAAAGCCAAAAAAGCAGTCTCTGAGAATTCTGTACAATGAAGTGATTCCATTTTACACCACACGTTGTAGATGGCACTATGAACTTTAAAAATTCTCAACCCAAGGGGACTCTCGGCAGAATGACCCAGCAGAACTTAAACCAGAAAGAAATAAACCCTATGCATTGAAAGCTCCTGGATAGGAAGGCTCCTCAAATCCAGGAAAAGATGGTAAGTAGATACCAGAACTGAAGGAGGCCTTCTAAATCAGCCCTTCTGTCAGCGGGTGATCAGGGCCCTCCCTCTCTGTGTTCCAGATTCCAAAGTGACAGCGCCACAGGTTAAAAATTCCCTTCCTATTCACAGCGTATTCCAGGTAACAACTGGATTTTTCATCTCTTACTAACCAGCTCGCTGGCTTAAGTACCCCCCCACGCAGTCCTTCCCCACTCGAGGTGAGAGAAGCATGGCGCCTAAGGGACGAGGATCCGAGGCTTGGGTTGACAGGCCGGCCGGCGACCTTGGGTTTCCGCGGCCCAGGCCAACGCGCGGCGCCTACTCCAGCGCCGCCCTCGCGCGGGGTGAAGGTGGAGGCGGGAGAGTCTCGCCACACCTCGGGGTTTGCAGAGGCTCGGCATCCGGGCCGGGCGCTGGGGAGTGAGGAGGGAGGTACGCCTCTCCCTGGGCGGCCAGGAAGCGGGGACGGGGGAGCCATACGAGCGGCGGGGGACTCACCTGCAGCAACACCGCCAGCAGGAAGCACAGGTACATCTGGTAGATGCCCATCTCGCCCACCGCCTGGAACGCCTCCTCCACCTCCATGGCCTGCCGCGCGCTCCGCCCCGGCCTAGCCGCCAGCGGGAGCCCGGCCCCGACCCGCCCTCCCGCCGCCCCCGCTCCGGCGCAGCCCTCCCCGGCCGGCCCGGCGCGCGAGCTCCACGGCGCCCGGCACCGGCTCGGCCCAGCCAGCGAGGAGCCGGGCGCGGCGTGCGAGCGTGGGCGGGGCGGCGGGAGGTGCGTCTGCGCGGGCGGGGTCGAGGGTCGGGGGCCGGGAGCCCGGGGCCCGCGCTGGCTTGCGGGTCCGGGGCGGGATGCCAGGTACCCGGGCCCCTGGGCTTCCTGTTAAAGATTTTTTTCTGAGAGGGATGGGTTTCTGCGCTGCTTAAAGCGAGAGGAAAGAGGAAGTGGGAAGTGGGCTCGGGCGTCGGCATCCTCTCTGATGGAGAAATACGGGAAGGGCAGCAGCGTCTAAGCCACAGCCGCTGCTTCGGGAACGGGGGACGCGATGACTGTTGGGAGACCCGGTGACTGCTAGCATAATCTGTCCTTTTGTACAAATCAGTTAAATGCGGGAAATGGGAATGGGTTCTAGATCCTTCGGAGAAGAGTGCTGTTCAACATTTCTTTCCATCCTGCTCTGTGCTAGCTATGTGGTCAGCCAACCAAATTCTTGCAAAACCGTGAGATACATTTGGTTATAGAAATATCCATGAGGTACGAAGGAAATACAGAAGATGAAAGATTAATTTGTGGGACAGGATGTGATGGCTGCCGAAGTGTTTGAAGGATAAACAGCAGTTTGAAGGGCTGGAAATGGAGAAATATGCAGCAGGACCTAGGGACGCTAGTCACTTGCCTTAAGCCTCATTTCTCCACCTCCTTAGATTGGTTTTAACAGCTGCATAGTATTCCATCGTCGAGGCCACGGCACCCAATACAATATTGAACAGAAGAGGTAACCAGCTAATGCTTTATCTAGCCTTTTACGTCTAAGAGAGCGAGATAGGTCTATAATTTTCTTGTTACTGTTCTTGTCTGGATTTGGCTGTGAGATTATAGTAGCTTAGTAAAATGAGTTGGAGGTATTTAGTAAAAACTCTTCTTTAAACCATCTGGACTTGGTTTGTTTTGCAGGGGGAGCCTCTTTATTACACAGATAGAGACATAGAGAGATTTATGTCACTTATTTTTATGGCTTTTGTTTTTTTTTTTTTTTTTTTTTTTTTTTTTTTTGTGGTACGCGGGCCTCTCACTGTTGTGGCCTGTCCCGCTGCAGAGCAACAGGCTCCGAACGCACAGGCTCAGAGTCCATGGCTCACGGGCCTAGCCGCTCCGCGGCATGTGGGATCTTCCTGGACCAGGGCACAAACCCGTGTCCCCTGCATCGGCAGGCGGACTCTCAACCACTGTGCCACCAGGGAAGCCCTTTATGGCTTTTTGTTCTTGAATTACTTTTACTTTTTTTTCTAGAAGTGTTACTATTTTATCTAGTTTTTCTGTTGTTTTTGGAATAAATTTGTTCATCTTGTTCTCTTGGGGTTTTTTAAATCATGCTCTAGCTGTATTTAGGCCCCATTTCTTATTCTGAATATTATTCATTTTTATTGTCCCATTCTTATCAGTCTTGCCAGAAGCTTGTCTACTTTATTATTTTTTGAAGAAACCAGTTTTTATTTTGTGATTTTTCTTTATGTCTTTGTTTTCTATTTTATGGAATATATGAACTATTTTCTTTCTTTACTTATTTTTGCTAGTATGTAATTCTTTTACTGCCTACATGACTTGAAAGTTTAGCTTTTTGCTTTCAATTTTCCTTTTATAAGAATAATTATACATAAGACTATGCATTTCTCTCTAGGTACTACTTTGCTGTATTCCACAAGTTTTGTCATGTGGTACTTACATTGTCTTTAGTTTTAAATATTCCATGACATTGTAATGTCCTCTCTACCCAAGGAGCTATTTGTTCTTTTTTTTTTTTAAGTTTTCAATTAAAGGTTGTTGCTATTTTTTAACCATCTTTTTATTGTTGATTACTAATTTAAATGCTTTGTGAACATAGATGATATTAAATCTTGGAAATTGAATTTTCTTGTGACCTAGTATGTGGTCATTTTAGAAAAGTGTACTGAATATATTGAAAATACTCTCCATTTGTTTGGGTGCAAGGTTTTTTATCTATTAGATCAACCTTGTTAATTTCATCAAAGTAGTCTTTATTACTACTAAATTTTACTTTGCTGGATGTATCAGTTTTTAGTAAACATGTCAAAATCTTACAAAATGATTATCATTTTTGAGTTTTTATCAAGTTCTCTTTTTATTTGTGAAAGTTTATGAAAGTACTAATTGTATCATTCCTTTTATCGTGATAAAATACCTTTTTTTTCTCTTAATGCTTTTTGTCTTAATTTTTATTTTGTCTAATGTTAACATTGCTGTGTCAGTTTTTTGTTGTTATTTTCCTTGTAATCCCTTTGTTTTCATCCTTTCAGCTTTGTTACATTCTAGACATGTTTATGGAAGGAGGGTTTATTTGTTTATCCAATTTTGTAGTCTCTGTCTTTTAACAGGTGAGTTAAACCCACTTATACTCATTGTGAATGATATATTTAGAATCATTTCTACTATTTTGTGTTTTATGTTTACCATCTTCTTTCTTTTTACTTCCTGGCCATCTGTTGAAGTCTTAAAGCCATTTTTATATGGTTCTTCTTTCTTCTATTTTTGGGAGCTACACATTGCACTGTTTTTTGTTTTATGTTTACCATCTTTTTTCTTTTTACTTCCTGGCCATCTATTGAAGTCTTAAAACCATTTTTATATGGTTCTTCTTTCTTCTATTTTTGGGAGCTACACATTGCACTATTATTGTTATTATTGTTGTTATTATTATTATTGTAGTAGTTACTCAACGTTTTAACATCCACATAACTGTACACTGTTCTACAATGTTGATAGTTACTTAATATATTTATTCTCTTTTCAAACTACACGAGATTCCAGAATGCTTTATCGGAGAAAACATAGGAGGACATAAAATGTTATGTTCTGAAAAGCTTTGTTAGGTGACTCAAGAAGTGACTATTGTGGTGCCAAAACACTGATGAACGAGACTAATGTGAAGTGTTTTAACAAAAAACTTTCACTGTTAAGGAAAATTGTCCTGCACTTGGAAATAATCAGAAAGCAAGAAGAGGACTGTATGTCCTTTCAATGTAATCATGAAGCATTATTCAACAAGCCCACCCCCAGCATTATTTAATTATTTAATTCAGTAGGAAAATTTACCAGTGTTTGACCTGGCTATTTGCTATGAATTAGAGTCTAGATACTATGCAGTTACATGTAAATTTGTAGATTTTCTTTTTGGTAGAGATGTAAATGATTATGTTTAATAGGAAAGATAATAATCTATTATTTCATTGCCCTGCAGAACATTAATTCATTTTATATATAATCTAGCAATCTTTTTTTCCTAGAAATAACCAGTTCTTCAAATGCTCTTAGAACCAGCTTTACCATCCTACTGCTTCCTTCATCAATTAAAATAAAATCATTGACATGGGTTCATTCTGTATAGGTAAGAGAGTCATATTTTTAACTTTCGAAATTTTCCTTTGATATTATGATGCGTGAGAGTGAAAAAATTATACATCCATGTTTTATGATATATAGCTAAATAAATGAAGTGTTAAGTAAAAGTTGGGTTATTTCATCTTACTCGCTAAAAGTTTATGTATTTTAAGTGGGTCAGAAACTTTTCTACATATTTCGTGTTAATTCACATTGTGTTGGAACATATATCCTAAAAGCAGTTGGTTATTGTGAGAACAGAAAATACAACCCTGGGAGTGTCAGAAATGAGGTCTGTGGATTGATAGAGTCCAGGTATGCAGTGCTAAGGAGCTTCAACTTTTTCCTGCAGGTGATGGGGACCACTGAAGTGTTTTTTAAGATTGAGCGGTATGATTTTTAAAAGATGATTTGGCAGCAGTGGAAAATGCACATAACACCAGTTGAGACACTGTTGTAAGGGCCCAGGCAGGACCCAGTGAAGGTCTGAGAGCTTAAACCAGGACAGTGGTAATAGGGATTGAGAAGTGAAGTCAAATTTAAGGTAAAATCTGCAAAAATTGACAGTGATTCATTTTGCAGAAGCATATGAGAGAGAAATCAGCAATGATTCCTATGTTTCTGGCTTCAACAACTGGGAAAATGGAGGTAGTACTATTTTTTTTATATATATATAAATTTATTTATTTATTTTTGGCTGCATTGGGTCTTCGTTGCCTGTGCACAGGCTTTTTCTCTAGTTGCGGCGAGCGGGGGCTGCTGTTCGTTGAGGTGCGCAGGCTTCTCATTGCGGTGGCTTCTCTTGTCGCAGACCATGGGCTCTAGGCACACAGGCTTCAGTAGTTGTGTCACGCGGGCTTCGTAGTTGTGGCTCTCGGGCTCTAGAGCACAGGCTCAGTAGTTGTGGCGCACGGGCTAAGTTGCTCCGCGGCATGTGGGATCTTCCCGGACCAGGGCTCGAACCCGTGTCCCCTGCATTGGTAGGCGGATTCCTAACCACTGCACCACCAAGGAAGCCCGGAGGTAGTACTGTTAACTGAGGTAGGGAACACAGAAGGTAGAGTAGGTTGGTGGTGGTAGGTTGAAGGACCTGAGATAGGAATGGTGGGACCTAGAGGCATTGCTCTTTTAAATGGTCGTTGCCCCTTTAAGATCCTGCCCTTCCCCCCCCCCCTTAACCCACCCAGGCCCCTGCTGGATTTCCTTGCCCTCATTTACAGTCCGTGCCAGAGCTTCTGAGCATGTGCTGAAGGAAGAGCAGGACTAATTAAAGCTCTCCTGAGGCTCAAGGTATTGCATCTGTGGCTCTTAGCAAAGAGTTCCATTTTGAGAGCATATTTTCCCCATCTGACCATTCTTTACTCATTTTTCTTTTCCTTAAGTCCTTTCCTACTATAATTTTATAGTACTTGTATTTCTTTTTATAACTCAGAAGTAATGAACATCTGGGGTTTTTTTAAATAATA